TTGTTCAGAAAATAGGAAACTACCTGAAAAAGAATCCATTAGCAATCCTAATTTGTGCATTGCTCGTTGAGTCCAAAATCTGGCGCATAAGATCGGAATAAAACTGAAGCGTGTCGTCGTCAGACGATCCTGCAGACTCTAACTTCGATTTGACGATTTCTGATTTGTGCGTTTTTATGGAAGAAACACCTTTGGAGATTAAGTCAATTATCTGGCTCTTGGTAGTTCCTTCAGCTCCTGCTTGCACCATATTCAAGGCAAATATTACAGATAATGGGGAAACCACAGTACATTCATCGGGCGTTTTCTGTCGAAGCATTTCGAGTCCAAAATCGGTTTCGGCCGTCAAAAATGGGCTGGAATATTGCGCATGCTGAAAATCGGACCAAATATGTTCTAACCCACCTTACATCGCCTATCATTTCGTGGAACAGAATCACAAATTTTTGGTCGTAAAATTTGCCTGAAAGAAAGCATAAAGAAGCTAAATTGGGTTATAGGAGCTAAAAAAGTCCCACATTGAGCATCCTTGATAAAAATGAAACATGTCAATTCTAAAGTTGTTTAATTATGCAATTAACTAGCATGATTGAGCATACTTAAGCAATAAAACGTCCTTCCGACCGCTGGGTGAGTGGAACCGAATATTTTTTTAGAAAGAAAATCCAGTCTTAACAGAAACGACGCGTTTGCGATAACAGTATTGAATTTTGCTGTGTGAACATAGCGATGAGTCAGATACCATAGCAGAGCAGCTGCGGATTCCAAAAATAAAAGTAAACATCCTAAACTAAGTTGGAAAAATATACTAGCCTTACGAGAAGTTTGAGCAAAAAAATAGTTTTGATGCATTTTCAAATGAAACTCTTGTCCATTGCAAAGCCTTTGCTGAATCAAATAATTTATCAAAAGTTCTGGGTTATTCGAAACTTTCATGCATTTAGATCGAGACTCCGGTGATAATAAATACTAGGTGGGTCCGAAAGTTCGTGCCGTTTTTCAGACA